CCTCCGCATTCATTGCCGTAACCGATTTGACGCACTAAAAGTCGTCGCCTGTGGGGAGGGGGGGAGCGTCTCCGCTGAAGCCAACGGCAGGCTGCAATGTCTTTACTGCGCGTTAGGCGGTGACCTTGCGTCAAATCCGTCACTGGGTCCCAGTCTCGTCCCAAAAGGAGGTTGAGGTCGTCAATCAACCTGAGAGATGCAGCGCCTGGTTTCCTCCTCATAAACAACTAAACGTGATTTTCAGCTGTCATGGCGCGCTATCAGCCATGGCCTGGAGCGTTGCCAGCTGAAGGGGTAACTTGATCCTGCCGCGGACTGGTGACCAGTCATCAATGATTCCCCAACGCAGTCTTTGCCATTGTCGCTCATCTGTAATCTCAGGACTTCCTCTCTCTCTCTCTTAGTCTCGTAAAAAGGGACAAAATATACACACTAATTGAGTAGTGTTTGTTGTTCGAGCTAGTCCTTTCTAAGTTATGGGGTGAATTTTCAATGAAACACCAGTATGTTGTGTTGCAATAATCTATGAGTTCATAGGTATTTTGGCAGATTTTTAATGATTCATCGTGACCCAATTGTGAAAAACTCGGCGCCTCGGTAGGATTCGAACCCACGCAGTAAGGGTAAGGCTTTAGTACAGCCCACGCTCTAACCACTTGAGCTACGAGGTCCCGCCGGACGACGCGAGTGTAATCACATTTGGGTCAAGTTACCCGCTCAAGCTACTGCAGCGTCTGGACTCCATTAAATCTGAAACAGTAAGTTTTTCACAGTTGGGTCAATATGAATTATTCAAAATCTGCCAAAATATCAATGAATTACGTGAGCCTAGTAGTCATCTGGTGGATTCTAGGTGAACTACTTAGGAAATCCTGCTTGGGCAGTCAACTTACTGTATCAGATTTGGTGGATTGCAGTAGGTTGAGCGGGTAACTTAACCCAAATGTGATTAAAGTCGCGTCGTCCGGCGGGACCTCGTAGCTCAAGTGATTAGAGCGTTGGCTGTACTAAAGCCTTCCGCTTACTGCGTGGGTTCGAATCCCACCGAGGCGCCAAGTTTTTCACAGTTGGGTCAGTATGAGTTTATGAGTTCTTTCGAAACAGAACTGCATTTACTGCTGACATCCAGTGTTTCATGCCCTTCGATGTATACCGCATGTGGTGTAATGGCCATCAGGCCAGTCCTTACGTCCTTTACCAACCAGCTCGTATACGGCATCATGCCGACAAAATGCCCTCCTTATTTAACCCTCCCTGTGCAAACCGCGCGGGATGATAGATGGCAGATGGTCACCCAGGCTGCTTCAGTGGCATAATAGTGTTTGCCATTAGTTGCCAGTTTTCTACCTCCTCTTATGATTAAGACTGTTAACTTTAATATCGTCGGGGTTATACACAACTCAGGAATCTTGCTAGCTAAAGTTTATGAGTCCGTCACTGTAAACAATAAACTATTCACATGGGCTTTCCAACCGATTCTAGGGCCCATCTTCAGAGTTGCCGAAAGATTAGCAAAACAGGCAATTTAAATTACGAACCTGCCAATAACCTCGATCTTCTATCGTTGTGTGTACCAGCTATGCCAGCATTGGTAAAAACCCGGTTCTTTGCGCGCGGTCCAGGTCGTGCGTGGCACGCGTAGACGGGTTGTTTAGATGACATCCACTGCGCCTGAGCCCGCCTCCGGTATTTCTGACTCTGTCTTGCTGCTGGGTCCAGATGGGTGAGGAAGGAGAGATTGTGGTAGATGCTGTGCAAGTCCGCTATTACCACAAACTGGTTCGCGCACAGACAACTGTTCTGCACCCGCTGTGCTGTGGAGGGCACACGATGGACATCGTCGTCCTCAACGGCCGAACTGTCCCCAACCTTTGTTGTCTTCGCCAATCCGGTAGCGGATTTGCGGCCTCCATCTTGACTGTGCAACACCCGTTATGCAGTTAT